CAGAATTGAAATCAAGAGAATGTACATATAAAAAATATATAATAACACATATAGATAGATAGATGAGAAATATGATTATGATTGTATCATGAAAGAAAAATACAGCAAACAGCACAACATTGATGATGTTATTAAGTAAGGGCGAGAAGGAAGGTAGCAATATCATTTAATTGGTACAAAAAAGAGATCTAGTGGTAAAGGAGGACTAATTTTTTTTGAGAGGTTTTTGTTATAGGGCACATATAGCTCACCAGAAAGACAGAGACAGAGAGACAGAAAGCGAGAAATTACCCCCCTGGGGGGATGGCCGTGCTGCAATCCCTTCTTCTCCATTCTCCTCTTGGTATCTTGGGCATGCATGCACATGTACCTGGTGTGTTTAAGCCACCAGGCCCGGGACTTAAACCGTGGTCGACTACATGGGAGTCCACTGACATAGCCATTACACCAACTGCTGGTCCCAAGGAGGACTAATTTTAAGGGGAAGTCTGGAAATTTCATATGTAATATCCACAGGAAAACCATTTATACGTTAGTAGGTACAGATAGGTGAAGTGATGTGGTGGTAGGAGTCTGTGGAACTTCTGATGTCTATAGTTTTCTATTAAACGAGAAGAGAAAAATCATCTACTCCTCATGAATGGACTTCAGCGGACAGAGTCCTTAGGGAAAAGCCTGGTTTCTGTTGGAGCAATAAAATATAGAACGTATTCAGAGAAGAGGTTGAGGATAGGCAAGAATTCCTGAGGGCACTTTGAGTTTTACTTGTTGGGAAGAAATGAGTGAAGTGAACTGAAGAGGGAAAGTGACACAACCTTATAGGGGTTAGATTGCAGGAGTTGAGAGATTTGGGGGATCTTTGGGTTCTTTGGGTTCTTGAGGTGACTGCCACAAATGGTGATAACCATTATCATTAGACGGGTTCTGATAGATTCAAGTCAGATATATTTGGCATGATTTTTAGATTTAGGCTTCAGATGGGGTGGGGGTCTAGGGTTTCTTATCAATCCCAAATGAGGTGGGGAGTGTGGTTGTAGATCTGGAGCACTGGTTCAAACAATACTTCATATTGCTTCTGGAAACAGAAATCACATAGATCTGTAATGATAGAAAAATGAACTGGAATGCTATCCTTCACATTCAGGACTACAACTGAGGAAGTAGGAAGGTGAATAGAAATGTGTCCCGACCCGGGGGACAGTCGAACAGGATTCCTGAAGGAAGGAGTGAGAGACGGGACGAACGACGCAGTGTTACAACACGGAGACAACACAGTGTTACAACTCTTCAGGGTCCTCCATTTATTGTGGGCAGCACAGAGATGACACAGTGTTATAACTCTTCACGGTTGTCCGGAGACGACGCAGTGTCACAGCTCTTCAAGGTCTTCCAGAGACAATGCAGTGTTACAACTCTTCAGGGTCTTCAGGGTCGTCTGGGGATTATGGGCCAGGGATCATGGTTATATACATGTTGGTGGGCAGTGATTGGTTGTTAAAAGGTGGGTTATGATTGGTTGCTTTTGTGGACCAATCATGAGGTACCGGACATGCAAATTTGAGGGATTCTAGTGGCCAATCAGAGTATGGTTTTGAAGGTGAGGTTTTGAAGGGGAGCCAATTGTGGCCTTTGTCATTGTGTAATTGTTTGCTCTCTGAGCCCAAGATGGCAATATTAAGAGACTCATGAAAATGGCCTCGGCAGACTCGCTGGTGGGCAGCCTCCCACAGAAATGAGGTGAAAGTCGGGAACCAGCAGTTAGCATAATGGTCTGGCCCTATAGCAAAAACCTCTCCAAAAAAAAAAAGAAATGAGGTGAAAGTCAAGGACACCTCAATTTTTCTGTAATATTTCCATTTTGTCAGAAAAAGACAAAGCAGATATATCTAAATGTTAATAACATTGAAATCAATGTGGTGGGAACTCTGATACTTATTATATTTAGTGCCTGGGACATTGTACTCAATGTATATAAGTAGTCAGCGAATATTATTTTTTGAATGAGTGTGCCTCACCACAGAGAACGAGAGAGACAAAGACAGAGACAGTGAGAAGGAAAGTGAGAAATCACTCCCCCAGGAGGTTGGCCATGCTGCAATTCCTTCTCTTCCATTCTTCTCCTGGGATCTTGGGCACACATGCACATGTGCCTTGTGTGAGTTTCAAGCCACCGAATCTGGGACTTGAACCACAGTCAGCCATGTGAGAGTTCAGTAACGCAACCAGTACGCTATCTGCTGGCCCCAGAGTGTGCCTTTATGTTTTAAAAGTTTTTCCTGGCCAGCCAGTGGCATGAAGGTTAAGACACTGGATCCCACGTGACTGACTGTGTGGTTTGAGTACCTAACCTAGTGGCTTGAGAATCACTCTAGGCACATGTGCATGCATGACCAAAATCCTGAGAGGAGAATTGAGATGGGATTGTGGTGTGGCCATCCCTCCTCGGGGGTGATTTCTCACTTTTCCTCTCTCTCTTTCTCTCCCTCTGGCGACCATACGTATCTTATAACAAAAACAATAAAAAGTTTTTCCAACATACATACAAAATTCTCAAATTAACACAAAGTGCTACAAGAACATAGAGAAAAGAATGAGTGAGGTAAGGAAGGCTTGAGAAATCCAGGAGCACTAATTCTGATTCATGTTTATCTCTACTGCCATACATGAGTCCTATTAAAAAAATATGGGGTGCAAGACAAAGATAGTTCTACCTCCATTCTACTTTCTTACTCTAAGATTCTGGGTGAGTATCCATAAAATTACCTCGAACATTTTAGTCCTTTCTAATAACTGCTGGATTCCACATTTCTCCCCCAACAGTCACTGCCGTGGTGGTGCTGCCCCACCATTGTGCTCTTTCATGGCTTTATTACTTCAATCTACAGAGATGTCTCCTGTGGGTCAAGAAAAGTGCTAGGTATTTGGGATATAAAGATTGTCTCAGTAAATTCTGTAGTCATTATTCTAAACTGACTGGTTTAGGCCAAGAAAGTAAAAAATGTGACTTCTGTATAGGAGAGCACCAGTGTCATAGTAGAAATGTTGCACTGTTGGAGTGAATGACCCTGACTCACCCACCCTGACCATGAACACCGATGCGCCACCAGTTGGCCAAAATGAAATAAAAAACACTGAATAGACCAGTGGTTATAAAAAGCCAAGACAGCCTGAGCTTATTTATCCTGAATATCGGAGTTGCAGAGGTTCAAAGCTAACAGAGCAAGATGTGTCTGTCACTGTACAGGCCCCCATTGTACTGGAAGAATGAGGGTACTTTGAAAGAAGGAAACAAGGACCTTAGCAGTGCAGGAGGCAGGGAGGTAAGCTCCTGGTCCCTGGACCAATTAGAGAGCGCTGGGATGAGTCTGGGAAGGAGGAGTCTGCTATGATGCAACCAACAGCCCCATAGCACAGAGTGAGGTCCTAAATAGAGGGGAGACTGGACTCAGAATTCTAGGCTAAAGCGGAGGGAGGGCAAGAAGACGAGTCTGGGATCTCTCGACCAATCAGAGAGAACTGGGACGGGATCTGGGGCGGGGCTAGCCTCGGGGTTTATAACTGTAGGTTTCTGCGCGGGAACGCCAACCCGGTCCAGAGCGAGCTTCGTTCCCTGCTAGGAGGACGGCCTTTTAGTAGTCGCCGAGCTTTCAGGTGAGGCCGTGCAGCCCAAGGATGATGGAAATGAGAAGGCTTGGAGGTCTGGGGATGGCGGATGGAGTGTCACACTTTCCGGAACCCGAGGGTCCAGGATTGGGGCTGGCGTTTTGTGTCTGCGCTGCCAGACGATTCTGCGCCTTTGTCTCCTGACAAGGAGTTGGGACCCCCTGAATGGGCGCTCTGACGCTAGCCAGTCGTCTGCTCTCATCCCATAGCTATTAGGCTGGGCACTCGAACCACTGTAAATAGCTGTTTTAAAATGTACATAGACTGCTCCTTACAAACTGGCATATGCTCCCAGCACTGCTCTTTTTTATTAGCCCTGATTTCCCCTAGTTTGAGTTTGGTGTCTGATCCTTTGACAAAGCAGCGTTGTAAGGGAACCTCGATTAAATGGAGGCATGTTCGAGACCTCTGACTGCTTGAGATCTCTCGCCATTATATTCTGGGCACTGGATGCTTCTCACCCCACCGGGGTCCCAAACACAAGCCTGAGAGCTCGCCTCATTTCTGGAGCTTCCTTCCCATTGTCTCTTCTGCACAAACTGGGAAGTTCACAGGGCACCAATCATTTCATCATGTCCACAGCCACTTGCAGCCTCATCCTTTTGTCTCAAAATATTAAAGACTCCACTCTGGTTTATCCAAGACTCAAGTCTAATTTATCCCATTTTGCTTAAGTCCTGGGTCTGGTCCTAATTAACTGTCCCTTCATACAGTATTTTCAAACCAGCGACACAAGGAGCTATTAATGAGATGAGTAGTTACTTATGATCAGATTAAACCCCCTTTCCTTATTCTAGCCCCCAAATCTACTGTCTTTGGGCATTTAAAATCGAAAGAAATTAGTACAGTTTATGCCACCGTTTCTATGTGTGCTGCTCTCCAAATCTCAAGAAAACTTTGTCTCTCAAAGTAATATAATATGAGAATGGACATGCTCAAATTGTGCTGTCTCCTGTTATGCAATCATTAATTGATCAATTCCAGTCCTTTTTGGGTCTTCTATCCCTATCTGCTGTGTGCTTCTATCACCTCCATTTTACCTTTGCTGTGATTTTATTAGTCAGACATGTTGGCTCTGGATTTCTAGAGCACCTTGGTGTCTCCTGATCCAATGGCATTTTCTGCCTACCAGAAATGAGGTAATGATGTGGGATTCTAATAAAAACATGACTTTTCTAAGCTCTATTGCTGTTCTTCTGTTGAAAATTAGTAGGTAAATATTACTACTGAATGTGAAAATTAAATTTTTGACTGTTACCCCTTAGTCTGAAGATAGCTCTGCCTGATAAGATTTTTTTTTTCTTTTTAATTCTTTTTTGGTCTTTCTTTTAGTCAAGATGAGTGATAAACCAGACTTGTCAGAAGTGGAGAAGTTTGACAGATCAAAATTGAGAAAACTAATACTGAAGAAACAAATACACTCCCCTCTAAGGAAAGTAAGTCATGAGAGTTTTCAGTGGAGACAACAAATGGTAAAAGTTGAGAGGTTCAGTAAATAAACTCTTCTGGTAAAGTTTGCCACAGTGTAAGCAATAATTAGAAAACTATTTTTTTATACAACAATTAAAAATATCAAATGGTTGGCTTCTGACTTGTGTTTTGTATGTGGTTCTCACATTATAGGTCCCAGTAGTAATGGAAGAATAACTAGCTTCTTGTTGGAAAATTACTAAAAATTACAGTAAAAACCAATCTTGAAATATTGGTTTTAGCACTACAAAATTTTAGTTTTTACTACTTTATGCTTATTAGACATTTTCTCACATCCAACAATTTGGATCTATTACCTTATCCCTAAAGAATCATGCAAAATGCAGTTTTGGCCTTCTCCGATAAGGCACAAAAACAAATTTAGATCTTGAGCGTGCTAATGGTTCCTTGATTCAAGGGATTTTTTTTTTTTTGCCCTCCAGAATTATAGCTTGCTGGAAAAACTCCAAGCATATTTGAAAACCTGAGGGCCACTTCTTGTAATCCCAGCTTTATCTGCGAGTTTCAATGTTAGTCAAAATTTTTTGAAAAGGCATAATTTCCTATTTTCATAAAGGTAAATAAATCTGAAGAAAATGCCTCATTTGCTTCTCAGTGCTAGAATAACCTATGGACGAAAACGGCAACAGCATAAATCTACCTCTGAAATAGAAAAAAGTTTTGTTAATGTAGAGTCTAATTGATGTCCAAGTGATTAACATACATACACGTGTACACATCCACCACTGTGGGATACATGGCTAGTGCTTTGGCATTCTCAATTTAAAGCATGTATGACAGACTCCCACTATTTAACAAAGAGCGATTTTGGAAGAAACTGAACTTAAACTTAGAAAAATACCCTCCTAATGATGTTTTGTGTTTGTTTGTGTATTTTCCCCAGCTGTCCAGCAGGAGAAAGAATGTGTTCAAACATCATAAAATGGGATCTCCGTCCAAGAGAAAAATCTCAACGTTGACCTGAGTATCTTGGTTTTAAACTTATTTTTTGTAATCCTATGTGTTTGTAAGTATTTTAGGCATCTTCTGACTCTTTTCACCCGTACTCTCTGGCTAAGAGGTTGGGGGGGCAATGTTCCCTTAAATTTGTTTTTAAATTAACCATTAAAGTGTATATTTCAGAAGGCAGATGTTAATAATCTGACCATTGATTAACCTTTGTGTATGTAGTCCTTATCCTACATACAGGATAAGTTAATTCCGTTTAAATGGGTGCCTCCATTGCTCCATAGTCTTCATGAAGTTGCATGCTTTTGTAGCTTTCCACAGTTTATGTTCATTTCTAATGTAGCAATGAAAAAAAATAAATATAATCATTATCTTGATATCCCCATTCTTGGTAGTCTTTTAAGTAAAGAAAAGCATACAAAGATACCCTTTTCAGCCAAATGAAATGATTGAAGGACAACCTCTTTAGCGGATTATTCTAAATGTATCCAGGTCCACTGTTCTAGGTGCTTTTTCCTAGATCTGGAATCATAGAGAATCCTGGGAGAAGAGGTCCTTTGGACTAGCCCTTCTAACGCAGAAATAAGGAATTGGAAACGGAAGATCTGAAGTGATCTGCTTAAGGCAAATAAGGACTGGAATCCAATCTGTGTTCTCTTACCTTGCGGATAATGTTTTTCAACTTAATGGGAGGGGAACAACTAAGGTTGGGGAAGGTGGTACTTGCTAACACACTGTACTAATCATATCACCTTTTCTTTTTTTAAGAGAGATTTTTGCTATAGGGTGCATGTACTCACTGGAGAGACAAGGAGAGACAGAGACAGAAAGGAAGAAATCACCCACTGAGGGGATAGCCTCACTGCAATCCCTTCTCCTCCAGTCTCCTCTCAGGATTTTGGGCATGCACACCCTCACTCCTGGCATAAGTTTTAAGCCACTTGGTTTAGGACTCAAGCCACAGCTGATTATGTCAGAGTCCAGCAATGTAACCATTATGCTGTCTTCTGGTCTCCCATCCTATCATGTTTTCTATTGAGCACAAACTCATCTAATATCTGTAAATGACTTGTAGCACTGAACCTCTGGTTTGGTTTTTGTACTGAACAGAATATGCTGTCTTATGAACCAAATATTTTTGGTCTTCATGGTAAACGCAAATGTTGTGAACTGAATTGTGCCCCTCCCCCACAGTCTCATATTTTGAAGCCCTGACCCCAATTTGTGCCTAGAGATAGGGTCTTCAGGAGGTAAATAAGATTAAATGAGGTCATAAGGATCAGACCCCGATCTGATAGGACTGTGGCATTTTGAGAAAAGGGAGAAAGAGAGATAGGAAGGCAGATATCACTCTTCCATTTGAGGATGTGGCGAAAAGACTGCCATCTGCAAGTCAGGAAGAGAGCCTTCAGCAGAACCTAAACCTGCTGGATTTTGATCTGGGACTTGTCTGGAACTGTGAGAGAACAAATTTATGTTGTTTACATCACCCAGTCTATGGTACTTTGTTACAACAGCCCAAGCTGACTAATAAAGAATACATATAAATGGGTGTGTTCTGATCCCTGACCTTAAATAACACATTTATGACTTTAAGTTTATTTTTATTTTATTTATTTGTTTATTTTTGAGAGATTTTTGCTGTAGGGTGCTTGTGCTTACTGGAGAGACAGACAGAAGGCGAGAAATCATCCCTTGCGGCAAGGGGGGGGGGTGCTGTGAGTGGGGGGGAGTGGCCATTCCACAATCCCTTCTCTCCTCTCCTCTCAGGATCTTGGGCACACATGCCTATGCACGCAGCATGTTTCAAACCATTGGGTCTGGGATCTGAACTACAGTTGGCCACATGGGAGTTCAGCACCTTAACCACTATACCACATGCTGATCCTTCATTTTATGTTTATAAAAACCAATTACCTATAATCTTACCAATTAAAAATGGTAGCACTTAGGGTATATATCCATTCAGACTGTAGATCTGTTAATACAGGCTGTGATCTTTTTCTACAAAAAAAAGTAGTATGACTTTCACATTTATTTGCAACCTCAAGTATTAGTTCCCTTGGGACCAGTAATTAGCATAATGGCTATGTCACTGAACCCTCATGTAGCTGACTGTGGTTCGAGTCCCGGACCCAGTGGCTTAAACTCATACCCGGTGTGTGTGCGTGCCCAAGATCCCAAGAGGAGAATGGAGGAGAAGGGATTGAGGCATGGCCATTCCCCCTGGGGGGGGGGTTGATTTCTCACTTTCTATCTCTCTGTCTCTTTCTGTCTTTCTGGCGAGCGCATGTGCCCTATAGCAAAAACCTCTCAAAAAAAATATATATTAGCTCCCTCTTTCTAAAAGTTTACATTCTTAACCACTAGGATTTTAGAGAGTGGAAACTTTTTTCTATGCTATAGCAAAAAGTTCCGCAAGCAAAACAGTAGTTGGACCAACTTTGATTGAGTGTCAGTGAGGTTGACATAATTATAGGGCTTAGTGAAGCCAGAGGATTTGAAGCTTGGATGAAATCATGTTCGTCACCAATATCTTATCTTTCTCCTTGCCTTAAACAGTTGCCCAGGAAAGTCACTCATCACCTTGCAATGACATGCTGTTTACATTGTACCTGAACTTGCCTTTCTTATATCTTCTGTCCAATAGTACTAGGACTGCAGGCCCAAGACCCACCCAGTGTAGTTAATCTACCCTCTAGTATTTGAAGTCAGCTGTTGTGTGCCTGCCCCCATACCAGCAAGCCTTCTCCAGCTTACACTTCCCAGATCCTTTGGACTCAGGTTATATGGATAAGGGAAACATCCTGATTGTATTTTAGATGTACTCGAGTTTATACATTGTCATATCTCTGTATCTTGATTTTGGCATCAAACACATTTACTCTCCTGTCAGTGTCACCCTCTGAAAATTTGATAAAGATGCTATACATCCATGATAGATTCAGCAACCTCTGCATTTACACACTAGTCTGGCTCAAGATTAGGCTCATTTCAAAGGACCTAAAGATAAAACCCATGGGGGCTGAGTTTTAATGCCCTGAATTCATTTATTAATTGTAAAACTTAGAACTGAGTTTTCTTTTTCTTGAGAGTTTTTTTGCTATAGGGCATGTGTACTTACCAGAAAAACAGACAGAGAGACAGAAAGCAAGAGATCACCCCCTAGGGGGGATGGCCATGACACAATCCTTTCTCTTCTATTCTCCTCTCAGGATCTTGGGCTTACATGCACATACACCCAGCGTGAGTTTAAGCCACCGGGTCCAGGACTCAAACCACAGTCGACTACATGGGAGTCCAGCAACATAGCCATTATGCCAACTGCTGGTCCTTACAATTGAGTTTTAATGCCCTGAATTAATTTATTAATTGAGTTTTAATGCCTTGAATTTATTAATTGAGTAATAATTGAGCTTTAATGCCCTGAATTGAATTTTAATGCCCTGAATTCATTTATTAATTGTAAAACTTACAGCATTAGGGCCTGTAGCAGTTATGTTTACAGAGAAAGAAAAAAGATGTAGCTCAGTTGGAGGGCCTTGAGTAGACCTAGAACATGCTGCATGGTGGAAATGCATTTGGAAGTGAAGAAACTCACACCCAGATTGGAAAACATACCCACCATGTGTATGTGCACATCCTGAATCCTGATGGAAAGGAGAAATGGAAGGAGAGTACAATGTGACCATGCCCCCTTGGGGAATGTTTTCTCTATCTATCTGCCTTTTCCTGGGGAATATACATGCCCCCTGGCAATTAAAAAAAGATAACAGGTGCCATGTGTACCACCAATGTTCAAGGAATTTTTGTTTCAATAATACTTATAGTTAAGCTTTTAACTTTACAAAATGCACTGAATGTTTTGTTTTGATCATGTCAAATAGCAAGGAAACAT